TGTTCATAATCAGAGTATGACTTTATCTTTGGGCATTGTTAGGGAATTATTGAGAACAATTACCCAAGGCCCAAGCCCACTCCACAAGGCCCAAGTGAGGTTCCATCCCAAAACCAATTGGTAATGGGTGGAGTAGNCTCACATTTGATTCCTTGGTAATTGGAAAGTTCAATTCTCTTTTCTTCTATTGGACACATTTAAACTCCAATTTGTTCATAATCAGAGTATGACTTTATCTTTGGGCATTCAATTGTAATTTCACCAGAATATTGTTTATCCTTATGCTAGCTTTTATTGTCAAAAGCAAGTTTCGAATTTTCAACTTGCTCATGTTTTTTTTTATTGTAGTATAATGGTCGGTAACATCATGGTCAATAGTAGGTTTCGAATTTTTTGCTATTTGTTTATACTGGTATTTGCAAATTACTCATCACATGACACCAAAACAATCTTCTTATTGTACCATTAAAACACATACATGTTATGTCGACTTATGTAAGTGACATCCATATCATAGTATTATGGTTATCTGCAAAGTATATGACAAGCATTCATCTCTACCACGTTACATACAATCTCATTTTTGTAATACTTCTCAATAGAGAGTGAAATATTACACATCTCCATATTTTGAATTCATTATCCCCTTTTAACCAGTGGAACTTGATAGCAAGATAAGCATTTTTAAGCTTAAAATGTAAAGCTGTCACAATACTTTGGATACCATGTTATCACAATTCTCATGATCTATTATCACGTTGCATACTTTGTTATCATTGGTGTATTGTGGATTAAAATGTACCTTTCTGAATTTCACGTCTCCCTACTTTGGCATGTAGAGTGGTAGTTATGATGTAAAATGGTGATTGTGACCACAAATCATGTGGAGAAAATTATGAATTCATTCAAACACGATTTATTCCTCCTTTATTTTCTAAAACGTTAAAGCGGAAGAGACAATTATTGTAATGAGATTTTAGGGAAAGAATATAATAAGATAGAAAATAATGCATTATCATTTAATAACCACCCACTCAAATCACATTTTAATCTTATATAAATCAATTATTATCTATTTGCATGTAAAAAAATTCTTTAATTATGACCTAAATTATGAAAAGTTTATCAAATCTTGATATTTCTAAAAATGTCATCTTAAAGCGTGGTAGTTAAAAAAAAAAAAAAAATTCTCTGATTTAAATCTAAAGCATAACTCAAAACTTCTACTAGTATTAAAGTTTAGAAACAATCATTAGTGGGTTACAACGCTTACAACACACTCACATTAGTGTGGGCCCCACCAATTAATTAATTGGTGTGGGCCCCACCAATTAATTAATTGGTGGGACCCACACTAATGTGAGTGTGTTGTAAGCGTTGTAACCCACTAATGATTGTACCAATAGCTTTTTTGTAAAGTTTATGTACACACATTTGAACGAACACGAACGCTGCATTTTTCTCTTTGAATTAACTATTAATTATCCTTCAAGTATGCCTTTTAAATAAACAAAAAGAAATCATTCTTAAAATTAAAATTTTAAAACTTACATACTTTATCTTTATATCTATATTTTCTTTTCCGAGATTAATTGATTTACAGTTCAATCAACAAATTTAAGGTGTAAAACAAAAAGAAAAAAGAATTACCTATAAGAATTCTCAAACTGAAAATGAAATGAAAATCTTTAGCCCTTGTTTGAGCCCCATTTACGGGGAAAATGTGTTTTGGAATAGACATTTTTGGGGAATGTATAGTTAAAACATAAGGAAAATTTTCGATTTATGTGTAAAATTATTTTATTGAAAAATGTGCAGTTGAAAATGAGTATTTGATAAAATGGGCTAAAACAAGGGCTTAAAAAACTATAACATGTGTTCTATGGAGGAAGAAAAAGTTGCTAAAATCTCAGTATTGTAGGCATGGAGGGTTTGCACATTTGCCATGGGTGATCATAGGGGACTTCAATTTTGTTCTCTCCCCTTCAGATGTGGAAGGGGGTTCTTCTTCTTGGCCTACATGGCAAAGCGATCTTGGGGATTGCTTGGTAACAATGGGTTTGGATGGTTTAAAGTTTGATGGCTGTTTATATACATGGTCTAATAAGCATATCTTTGATCCTACTCTCAAGAAGCTAGATCGTGCCTTAGTAAATTCGAAGTGGGAGGGTAAGTTTCAGGAAGCGGAAGCTACTTTTCTTACCGCATGTGTGTCAAATCATTTTCCTATGATTGTGAAACATCCAGAGCTACCACATAGGAAGATTCCATTTCGTTTTTTTTATTATTGGATGGATCACTCGGATTTCTTCCCTTTGGTGTCTCGGATTTGGGGTGAAGCGGTTGTGGGAACTCCTATCTTTTGTTTATGTTTGAAGTTGAAGAAGTTGAAGCTTGCTTTGAAAGGTTTTAATAAGGAGCATTTTTCATGTCCACCTAGGAGAGTTACTCGAGTTCGAATTGATTTCGAGCATCTTCAACGTTTGATTCAACATTCGCCTTTGGATTCATCTCTACACAGTAAGGAGACTCGGCTACAAAAGAAATTTGACGAGTTGAGCAGGGTTGAAGAGAGATTTTTGAGACAAAAAGCTCAAGTTAAGTGGCTAAATTTAGGGGATCAGAATATTGATTTCTTCTTTAAGGCTATGAAAAGTCACTATGGTAAGAGTAAGGTGGTTTCCAATTGTAGAGATGATAGTACTAGAGTGGAGGAGAGGTTAGTAAAGTTATTGTTGAATTTTATCAAAATCTCATTGGACAGCATCCTAGCGGTGAGGATCTGGATGTGGACTTGCTTAGAAGATCCCTTCCTAAAAGTATTCCAGAGGTACATAAGAAAATCGTTGATAGAGATGTATCCTTTGAGGAGATTAATGAGGTTTTGTTCTCTTTAAAAGATAACAAGGCTCCGAAGCCAAATGGTTTTAATGCAGGTTTCTTCAAGAGGGCTTAGAATATTGTGGGAAATGATGTTCTATGTGCCATCAAGTCTTTCTTTGACTCGGGGCGTCTATTGAAGCAAGTTAATGCTACTACCATTGCATTGGTCCCTAAGGTTCCAAATCCTTCTCAGGTAAAAGACTTTAGGCCTATCTCTTGTTGCAATACTATTTATAAATGTGTTGCTAAGCTTATTTCCAATAGAGTCAAGATGGTGCTTCCATATATTGTTGGATCTCAACAAACTGCTTTTGTTAAAGGGAGACATATTAGCGATAATATCCTTCTTTCCCAAGAGTTGTTGAGGAATTATCATCACGGTGGAGGACTATCTAGGTGTAATCTTGAAGTTGATCTCATGAAAGCCTAAGATTCTATTCGTTGGGATTTTCTCTTTGCGGTCTTAAGGGTGCTTGGTTTTCCGGAGAGGGTTGTTACGTGGATTACCGAGTGTGTTACTACCACTCGGTTTTCGATTTCCATTAATGGAGAGTTGCACGCTTTCTTTGCTGGTGGGAGATGATTGAGACAAGGAGATCCTTTGTCGCCTTAATTTTTTGTCTTGGCAATGGAGGTCTTTTCGGGGTTAATGGGGTTGATGGTTGCTGAGCAGGAGTTTAAATACCATTTGAGGTGTGAGAAGGAGAAGATCACACACTTGTGTTTTGTTGATGATCTTATGGTCTTTTGTAGAGCTGAAGTTGGTTATGTTTTTCTCATTGGAGAGTGCCTTAGTCGATTAAAAGCACTTCTGGTCTTATTCCTAATCCAGATAAGAGTAATCTATTTGTTAGTGGTGTTTCTTCATATCTTAAGGGTCAGTTGCTTGATGTTTTAGGGTATAAGGAGGGCGTGCAACTAGTACGTTATCTTGGTGTTCCACTTATCTCTACCAAATTGAGGGTTTTGGTTTTAAGGTGTTGTTGGATCGTATTATAGCTAGGGCTATAAGTTGGACTTGTCGCGTGCTCTCCTATGCTGGCAGGTTACAACTTACTAAGTCTGTGCGTTTTTGTATTTAGGTCTATTAGTCTTCGATATTTATTTTACCTAAGGCTGTGATCAAGCAAGTGGAGGTAGCTCTATGGGCTTTCTTGTGGAAAGGTTGTGACCTTGGCACCGGTGGTACTAAAGTGGCTTGGTAAAGATTTGTATGCCTAAGGCGGAGGGTGGTTTGGGTCTGGGGAACATGGAGATTAGGAATAAGGCTGTCATGTTAAAGCACATTTGGTCCCTTTATACTGATTCTGCCTCTTCTCTTTGGGTTACATGGGCACGTTGTTACTTACTTAAAGGTAGGAGTATTTGGGAATTGAAGTGTCCTGGGGATTGCTCTTGGAGTTGGACGAAGATTCTTGGACTTGGTGTACAAGGAAGGACAAAATGCAATTCAAAATTGGTAATGGTAGACTTGCTTCGCTTTGGTTTGATAATTGGCATCCTCTTGATCTTTTAGATAAGATTTTTGATGAGAGGATCATTTATGACTCTAGATTGAGTAGACAAGTTAAGGTGGCAAAAATTGTTGAGGGTAATACTTGGAGGTGGCCACCAATTCGTTCCACAGCGTTGTTTGACTTGATGCAAGGTACGCTTCATACTTTTCGACTGGATAATACTGGAGAGCATGTCTTCCGATGGGTGGATAATGTGCACACAATCTTCTCTATTCGGAGTGCTTGGGAGTCTCTTCGACTTCGCTGCCCTAGGGTTGCCTGGCATCATGTTGTATGGTTCCCTAAGTGTATTCCCCGTCATGCATTTATCCTTTGGCTAGTAATCCAAGGTGGCCTCCACTGTTAACACTAATCTAGGCTATTGTTTTTGTGCTAGGAAGCATATATTCCTAGCCATGTTTTTCTGAGGTACGCCCCCCTGTAATCTTGTACTTTACTTTCATACTTTGGATATTATACACTTACCTTATCGAAAAAAAAGATTTAAAATTCTACTTTATGTCTACTTATAGCCAAGTGATATCGAACACATCAAAATAACCTACAATGTGTGCCAATTCTGCTGGCGACCATTGTGAAGTGATGATGTTACAAAACTGTTCATTCTTCTCTGCCTTGGTGTTGAAGAACAGCCTTCTTTAAGCTCGCCATGTAGGTCAAATATATCGTCCACAAGTATGAAAAGGAACTGTTCATCAAGGGCTGCCAAAAACCACACAAAACAAAAGTATGGTTATTCATGAATGAATATACCATAAGCTCTGATGTAATGTCAGATTCTGCATTATGGCATTCCAAAACACACCACATGTAAACTTCCAATAGGGGACGGAAAAATAATCGAATCTCTTTTAAGCTTATCACCAGTTCAGGTTGTGGATCTTCCTCCCCGTAAAACATTAACCGCATTTATTATCGAGTTTTAGGCAAATAGAGTAAAAGTACCTGCAAATGGACAGCGATGACTTTGTATGTGAAAAAATCGCAAATTGGCCAATATAGAAGACCGTTTAACAAAGTGGGGAGTAGGTCTCTCTTCAATCTGGCAGTAATCTCAATCCGACTTTCACCTGAAATTCCCACAAGAACAATATTTTTAGAAAGTCTGAACCAACACAGTAACATATTTATGCCAAAAACTGTTAGCAAAAGCTGAAATAAGCCGTACTCTCTATTAACAAAAAGGTGTCCAAAATATGTGACTATTAGGCTTAAGACCTTAATCTTCCTTGTCCTTTGTTCTCAATGTATTTTAGACTTGTCACTTGTCAGTTTGCTTTGGATAAAACGTTTGAACGTTGTCTGCTGATGCCAAAATTTAACAAATCTTCGCTTATCTATACTTTAGTTAAGCAGTATGAAGGAATAATGAAGAAGCAATTATCAAACAGTAGGACACAAAGTCCCACTGCTTTCTGTCCCTGTCCCAGGATCCAACCACTGTATTCATACTAATTATGACCAGATTTTAGACATTATTTTGCATATAACTCACAAACCCAGTTTTCTAAGAAAGAAAGAAATTTCGTAAGCTAATGTAGCGACGATTACTCAGATGTTTAAACTGGGGCTTAACTAAATAGAACCCTTTAAACGGACAGTAACAAAATAAAAGCCAGTGGTTAGGGGCAGCCTCATTCATCTCATAAAGTGAACGTGCATAAGCAAACATAAGAAAGCCATCATTAGCAAATTGGGAAGGAAAAAAAAAAACAACAACTAGTGATAGGAGTAGAAGTTTAAAAGCGGAGGAATCATAATAAATATTACAAATAGCACGGTTCTTTTACAAACTGTGGCTGCGAGTGGTCAAGGGCTAAGCATAGCTGTGGTCCATGACAAAATGTCCCGCGTTCATATGCATGCTTAATAGGATCACTCAAAATAGTAAACAAGAAGATTCACATAACTAACTTAAGATTTATAGAGAATAAATTACCTTTTTGTATATCTAATTTGTTAATATTATCTTCTCGTCTTCAAAAGTGAAGTGTCCTCCCTTCTGTTTTCATCTAGTTTACCCCTCCAGCATTCCTATGCATCTATTTTTGCACTGAATCTCACTACGTGGGTCTTATATTCCTCATAGATAGGAAGATACGGAATTTTCTCTTTCCAAAAGTGTTGAATCTTTAGAAAATGTATCATTTGTTTCCCTTCAATGATGCATACTTCTACAAAATAAAATCTATGTCTACAATGCTATTGTTGAAACTTGGCATTTAGTAGCTAAATTATCTATTTTTTTTTGTATGATAATATATGAAATTTACTTTCAATTATGATGTTTATGAACATAATCCAAATTAGTTGATGACTAATGGAAGCCATTCAGTAGGATGAAAAACTGCCACATCCATCATTTTTCCAGGTAAATGTTACAATTACAATTGAAAGAAATAGACAGAGAGAGATGGACTGCATGTCCAACTTTGGCAACACGAAGCGAATTGGTCCTGCTATTGGAAGAATTTACACCAGTTGATCTTGCTCTTAGAAGAATTTAGCTGGTTAAAAGGGAATTGGTAAGTAATATTTGCGCGCTAATTTTCCACCTTATATGCTTGTTCATTTCTACCATGAAGATGAAGGTTTCTAACTGTAAAGAAAATTGATTCTTGAAGAAGAATTGGACAACCTTAGCTTTTACAAAAATCTATTGGAATAAAATCAGTTGAATAGGAGCCTCAGTTACAGTTTTTTTGGTTGGAATCTATTAACCAACTGGAGCCTTGAGTTAGGTAGTAGTTAATAACTGAATTGATGCTCCATTATGTCTATAAATATGAGCTATAGGTAGTGCATAAAGTAGAGGTCGAAAATGAAGAAAAAAGGGGAATTCTGTAGCTTTCAGGAGTGAAAGAGGAATAGAAAGTGAGATTTGACAAGAGTGGTAGAATTCTTGTAAATCTAGGAAATCTTTCTGGGTGATTTTCAAGTGTGTAAATCATGTTTTTGCTTTGGTAATAAAGTGGGGAAGAGGATTTCTTCCTGGTTAAATAATTCTCTATCTGTTCTGGTCTTTTTTCTTGCTGGTTTTTTTCTGCCTTTTCTTCTGCAAGTGCTGGTGCTGTTTCTCTGTCATTTTAGATTGATCCTGAGCTGTGGGGGAAGCCAAAATCCCAACACTAACAATCTAGGGTATCCCTAGCTCGGAAGTTTATTTTGCATTTGTCAACAATGAATTGTCAATTTCCCACATTTATTGGGAAGGCAGAAAACAGATTTGACATGATAATTAGTATTGATCATTTGTTGTTTTAAATTGGTCCTTTCTTTCCATAGCATTGTAGATGATCTCCAGTGACTCAGAAAACTACTGGATGCCATTGGTTTAGTAGATAAATTCATCGATGATGAGATTGAGTAATATCCCAAGTGATGTACAAAATGTAGTATAATTGATCACTAGCTTAGTCATAACAGAGCTTTGGCATCTTATTCCAACTCTTGTATATATCTTTGAGTACGAAGGGGTATTCAACTAATATGCCTATAAAAAATTGAGGAAATTTTACTATCATTATCTTATTAAAGCTTCCGTGATTCCACTCAATTAACAATAACAATGCACTTACACACATTCTTTCAGCCATTGAAAGTTCAAAATGCACGATTGCAAAGAAATCCCATTACATTCTAATAGTGGAAAAGATTATACTTCTATATACAAAGCATTAGGTTTAGTTCCATTTTGAAATCATTCTTCATTTATCTAATTGGTGGACCATGCACGATTATCTTTAATCATCATCATGAAATATAATCTAACACGAATTTTTGGACCTATACGATATTATTATCTTTCCCGTGAAATATGGGCACTCTTCTAATAAATAAGCACATATGAATGCAAAACCAGTACAGAACTCAACTGGATAATAAATAAATATCTTTACATATTTTTTTCCTTTCATTTTACATAGATCAAGTAAAAAACCAAAAACTATGACGAAAATCAACGTAACCAAAGTGAAAAGAAATGGAAAATTGCCAAAAATAATTTGATCAACGTGCTATTAGAAGATCACCAAAAACTTCGTTTTATTCTGAGAGAAAAAAAAAAGATCACTGGAAAAAAGATCATGGACAACATACAGTCTAATAGTGGAATATTTAATTATTTATAGTTTTCCAATTGAAGCAAAGAGAAGAATTTTCTACCTTGTAGAGCGGCATTAAAAGCGAAGAACGCACCGGTGATAGCAGGACCATAAGTAATCTGTCCCATCAATAGCTTCTTGAAGGTAGTAATCACATCTCTCTTCGGTAATACTCTTGCTACAAAATTAAACCACATATGCTGCGCTGGACCCAAAATAATCATCCCATATCCAGCCATCCTTAATGTCCTTATTGTATCCCAAGCACTATATGGCTCCATAGTTATCATCTAACCAATTTCATAACACATAATCAATGAAATACCAAGAATTAAAGAATGCAAAAAATACCAAAATATAAAGCAATCCCACAGAATCCAATAGCACGTTTTTGCAAGAATATCAAGAAACCCATCAGTGTTAATTTACACTAATGACAAGAATATGTACCTGAGTAGTGATGTCAGCGGCGGCATATATGAGCGCAGACGATATGCTTTTTGTTATAATGGGACGAGAATCCAGCATACCCAAATACCACGACAGAAATCCCATCTTCGGATTTGAATTCAAAGATTATTACGAGTATGATTTGTGCAAAAATCTAAATCGAGAGTAGAAAATGGAAAGGGGTTTCAGAAATTCTACTAGTCTTTCCAAATTGATTGTAACTGATGTCTTGTACGCTCTGCATTGTAGATTCGATTCTGGTAAATTTAGTTCAATTAACTATGAAATGAAATCTAATTTTCTTTGTTTTTTGAATCTGTTACCTAATATTCGGGAGGAATTTTTGTTATTTTTTTTTTGAGGGATTCAGTTTATTTTCAAGAAGGGAGCAGAAAAGAGTTCACACTGCAAATAGGGGTTGGCGTGGCGGGAGCAGTGTTACTCCGCCTAGTGTCTATCTGAGTCGGTTCACTTTTTATTTTCTAAATTTAGACTTTATTATAATTTACACTGATAAATTATACTTTTTATCCATGTACTGCATAAGATTGACAATTTACTATCTAACTATGACACGTTCTGAATATTTAATAATTTACAAGTACTTAAAAACACTATCTAACAAATACGAATCAGAGTTGACTATTTCAACTCTAAATTCCATTATCATTACACGTATTTTTTAAGTTGGGAAAAATATTTGGAACTACAACACTTAGAGCTTGTTTGGTAGGGATTTTTTAGGGGAAGAATTAATTTTGAATAGTGATATGATGGAAAATGTGTGGTTGAAAAAGAAGAAAAAATTATCGATGTGATAGAAAATATTATTTTATTGAATAATGTGTGGTTGAAAATAAGAATTTATTTACTGTAGAA